CCCACACCCACACCCACACCCACCCCCACACCCACCCCCACACCCACACCCACACCCACACGCTTACACCCACACCCATACTCACCCACACCCGCAAAAGTATTCCCTTGGATAGAATATGGAGGATGTTGAAAGCTATCCCCCACTTGGTCAGGATATGAGAGATGTTGAAAGCTACCCTCCCCCCTTGGTGAGGATATGGAAAATGTAGAAAGCGTGACCGTGACCGTGACCGTGACTAAGTAGTTCGTGACTATATCGTGACCATGACTAAGTAGTTCGTGACTATATCGTGACCGTGACTAAGTAGTTCGTGACTATATCGTGACCGTGACTAAAAAATCGTGGTCACGCAGGTCACTATTTGCGAGATTTAGAAACTTAGGACGATTTAGTGCTTGTATTCCCTTGAATAATGTGTGAATCTGTCTTCAATGTATGCAGGCATCCCATCGTTTGCGACTGCGTTTATGTAAATGTAAGGATTACTTAGGATTCAGATCACGCGTACAAAAAGCAAGAAGATCAATAAAAATAACTGGAACATACTTAATTTACCATCTTGTGAAGTGTATTTGTTATCGTATTCGTGAGAGATACTGGTTCGGCTGCAGATGAAGTAGATGATAAATCGTATTTTTCTCGAACAGTACCTATACACACGTATCTGTATACTATATAATGAACATGTCGTCCTTCAGTCATCATATTCCCTATTAGTGCTTGCAAAATCTATGAACTGTTCTCCTCGAATTTCTGCCACGTCTACCATAATACCTGTATTATAATTAATTCCAGATACTCACAACTGCGCTCTAGCTCTTATTCCAGTTGTCAGCGTATCAGTGAAGACAACGAGAAAAACAATTAGTCGCACTTTTTCAGTCACAAATTCGAACAGAATTTCCCCAGTGTGATTTGTAACTTGATAGTTGATAATAGTTTTTACATATGGTTGTATTTGCAATCATGAGATCTCCTATGTCCAATCACTTGCCAATTTCTATCACTATTTTGAATCGGCACATGTAAATATTTCTTTTCGAACAGAAGAGTCAAATGAGACATTTGTCTATCTACCTTTTATGTTACTTGATTTTTTTCTTTCTTATCAAACTGCACTTTACCACTGATCTTCAGTCGTGAAAAGAAAACGGCTGGTAGCGAAAGCGAAAGGAAAGAGAAGAATTCGTACCTTTATGTGCGATAAGACCATTAGAGACGAAGTTACCATGGATGCTACGCACTATGAGTGCTTCTTATAAGTTAAAACTTGTCATTTTTAACAATATCACTTTGGCGGATGCAGCCATATTTCAGGTCGAAAGATTGCAAGTCCTATTAGTGCGTGTGAGTCGATGAATGGATGTTGGCTTGAGTGAGGTGAATGTTAAATGAGAGTAATCGCCCACATGATATTGGCGTGACTAATTAAGTGATGTCCGACACCCACACCACCTACTTCATAACTATATGGTGACCAGTATTCATCCATTCTTCGTTTTAGTTACAGGTAATCATACCGCAAACCTTACTCAGATATGTAATTGATCGATTCATGGAATATATTCTATTCGGAAATAAGACACCCATTGGGATCCAGCTGTTCATAAGATGAATTGAGCAGAATACTTTGTGGAACAACTTCTGTTGGTAAAATACGGTATCTCATTTACTTAAAATGAATTGCAGAGGCCATAATCATGTTATCAGAAGCAGTCTCTGTCATCATCGACAAGCATATGAAAACAAACATGAGTCAACAAATAATCCGATAAAAGCGCAAATGTGTTTCCTAATACAAAGCTGAAACATTATATGAAATATCCGTCATAATAAAGTAAAAGTCGTCGATATCAAACGTATATTCAATGTGCCTTTCGGCACAACGTTGTGTTGCGAAAATTGGCGTCAGGAGGATGTGGATGTGAATATTAATATTCTCTTCACTCACATCCACACCCATATCCACACCCTCTCAAATGAAGTATCTCTCAGAAGTGTAACGAATATCAGACAACTGCTAAATCAACAAATAACCTAATTTTCGATTAAAAATAAACTGGGAAGCTTTTTAAAATACAGAAGTAATAAAAAGTAATATTTGTGTGCTTATCCGAAACTTTTTCTTCGCTTTGTATTTGGAATACAGACAATTACGGATGATATTTGTATTTCACTTGCAGATCTCGAAATTTTTTTCTGCTGTGTACAATTACTCAAGAGATTCATTCGAGTAATGCGCCTTTGTATGATTTTTCTGGTAGGATGGTCATCAGATAAACATTCACTATAGATGGTCAAGGCGCTGACGTAATAGTCAAGAGCATCATTCATATTATCCAAAGTTTCATGCAAAGAACCAATTTTGTATAAGCTGTTTGCGATAGTTTGATGACCGACAGGCAAACTTTTTTCTTGATTTTGAAGAGCTTTTAAGTGAAATTCAAGTGAGTGAACATAATCTTTCTGTTCCCGATAGATATCACCCAGTAATTCTAGGGTACTTCCGATATTAGCCAAGTCAACGCTGCTCAAGCCTTGCCACATGACTAATGCTCGCCTTGCATACTCCAGTGCATGATCATAATCTTTCTTGCCGAAATATGTTCTCGAGATATTCAATAGACTATTAGCCATATCTGAATGATTATCAGGTAATGTGGACTCTCGAATTTGCAGTGCTCGTAACTTGAATTCAAGTGCTTGTTCATATTCGCTTTTGCCAAGATATACGTTGCCTATGTTTTCAAGGCATGAAGCAATGCCCTTATGATTTGGTGAGACACGAGCCTCATTTATTTTCAACGCTCTTGAAAAGTAATCCAGCGCTTTGTCATGATCACCCAGTTTATAATAAACTCCGCCCAGGTTGTTGAGCGAGTTGGCAATGGATATGTGATTGGCCGGAAGACATTGTTCTTTCATTGTTAATGCTTCCTGAAGATATTCTAATGCACCTTCATAATCGCAGATACATAGATAAACTAGTCCAATATTGGAAAGGACGTCGGCAGTATCTGGATGGCTCGGTGGCAACCATTCCTGTTTGATTTCTAGAGCACGAAGATAACAATTCAGTGCATGTTCATAATAACATTTTGAGTAGTAAATTGAACCGATATTTATGAGACTTGTGCCGGTGTCTGTATGATCAGGACCCAATACCATCATTCTTAGCTTATAAGCAAACTTGTGGCACTCAAGTGCTTCATCAAGTCTACCCATATCATCACAAATGACGCCCAAGTTATCAATTATACTGGCAGCATCTCGATAACGTGGGGGTTCGCTCTCAGCACACAAGTTGTAGGCTATCTCGTACTGTAATTTTGCATCGTTATATTGACCCAAACCTTGATAAACACTTCCCAAATTAATATACGACCAAACGAGATCATCGAACTCGGATTCTTGAATCAATTTTTGAAAATAGCAGAGTGCCTTGTCATATTGACCCATATCCATTAGAAGCTTACCGAAGATTACCCGCACGCTCGTGGTCGTTACACTTATACGAGTTTCATTGATGTATTCACGCGCGATCTCATTACCTTCAGTTGTGGCATGCATTCTTATCAAATATCTGTTGGCGGATGTAGAATCTTGTGGTGGGACAACAGCATCAATACGAAACGTTACTCCTAGATCAAAAATAATTTCGTCTTCGTCTCTTACGCTACTCAGGTAAGAACAATCGGCAAAAGTAACGGCACTACTAAGTGAGTCCACGTCGCACTCGATCTCAAAAAGAACAGACACTGCACTTGTACGACAATTTGACTTGCCAACAAACATTTCAGCAACATTACGCGAACGACTTGTCGATAGAAAGCCATTCGTAGAAATGAGATTGTTTGCATTTCGTGTTAACATTTCCAACTCCGATAATAACAGTGTTGCACCTCGATAGAGAGTCAATTTACCTCCGAATTCTCGAATCATCTTATGTTCACGAGCTAAACAGATACGAAGATCACGAATGAAAAAGCGGAAAGTGTCAAGTTGCTCTATATCTTCTGTACGTAAAGCTTTGTTGATTAGTCTGTAGAGAAACGATGGACGTGTATACCATTGAATGGCGTCATCAGATTGATAGTTACAGCCAAACTCGTCAATCAGCTTCAATTGTTTCTGATTATCATGATAGTAATGACGGCAAGAATTGACCATTCGTTTCTTTGCTTCCTCATCGTGAGGCATCTTCATTACGATGTCTTTGAACAGCTGAAACCATAAGAACTCAGCGGATTCTGAGGATAGATCTCGAGTCGATCGTTGATGGTGATTAAATGAATTGAATGTGTTTAAATGCTTTTCAATGAGCTCAACATTTTTACGAAGAATTGGAATAATGTCATCAAAACATGCGAACGAGCCGACAATTTTTTCGTGTTCCAATGAATTCTGGTTTTGGTCGTTCCTTCTCAGTATAAACATTGAATCCAGTTGTCGTAAGTTTCCAACTTCAGATAAAATTTGTGGAACATTTATAAGACCAAATAAAATCATGACAACTTTCTCTTTACCAACAGATTTCACGTATGAGACACAGACAGTAATGTCGCTAAAATGAATCACGAAGTCAACTATAGTTCGTAACTTGTCTATTATATCGGTAGACTCCTTGATGTCAACATTTGGATTGAAGTAGATCAAACTTACACTCTCTCGGTTGATCTTTGCAGATGTGTTTGAATCAATACTTGGAAGATTACATGCGTTACTTGGTAATTCCATTGAGTATAATAACGATGATAACCGTGAAGTTGATTTCTATGATTTATAAGGCTTCTTACTCGTTTGTGTCTCACAAAATAATACATATATAGAGCAGCATAGTGTTTGTTTCTTCATATAAGTAAAAGATGAAAATGTTACTTCCTATTCTGTCATCAAACAGAGGTGAATCATAGCATCATTATGGACCAACAAGCATACTTATGCATTTGAAAGCGCTAAATGTCTCTTGGCCTTTTCAAAGCTTCTTCTTAATATTCATGATTTCTGCATAGCACATATTTATTCTGATGCAGTTAGGCTTCATATCTTCAAAATTGCTTTCATGAAAATTCTCAAAAATTGGTGACCAATAGGAAAGTATTTAAGTATGAAACTATTGAGAAAAGCACATTATTGCACAATTCCCTGTTTATACGTAGTCAAGTATAGATGTGGATGCGTGTGGACTTTACAAGGAAAACATGAGCACACACTCCAGTAACAACTATCTAGATCTTATCAAATTCGCAAGACATCCAAAACTAATCATAAAGATCACTTGAAAAATGTCTTTCCGGCACATTACTGCAATGACTACTTTTATTGTACCAAGTCTGAAAGTAAAAGAGTTTTTTTAGTCGACACAGACATTAAGATAATATTGATTTCATTGGATGCTACTTCTATCAAGTTATTGAAATCTATTGGAAAAATATCCATTTATAACAATCTTTCTCAAATATGAGTTCTATTAAAAGTCTTTAACTAACAATGGAACGGTCTGTACTGATAAGCGAATTGATTGACCTTATTCGGGTCAAATGATCACTTTCACCGAGAAACTAACGAATTTAAAATATGACGTGCGGATGGCGTTCCTAGACAAAGATCCTTGAATCTCAAGGTCTGTGAAATTTAGGTATAAAAATGAATCAGGAAAGGTTTTCTCCGCTATTATAAGGACAAAACATAGTGTTGTTCGGGCCGATTATGGGGTTTGTAGGGATCCTCTTTCATATGGCCCGAACAACACCATGTTTTGTCCTTATAATAGTAAAGTGAATTTTTTGGTGGCTGATAGAAAACACCGTTTTCTATGAGCTACAGAAAAAATTTACTCTGCTATTATAAGGACGGAGCATATTGTTATTCGGGCCAATATGGGGGTTATCAAGGATGCTCTTTCATATGGCCCGAACAACACCATGTTTTGTCCTTATAATAGCAGAGTGAATTTTTCCTGTAGCTCATGGAAACGGCGTTTTCTATCAGCCACTAGAAAAAATCACTCTACTATTATAAAGACAAAACATGGTGT